CAGACGTGTGCTCTTCCGATCTCCCCAAAACCCCAAAACCCCAAAACCCCACGATTTAATATCAATAATTATTAGTGGATAAGATAAAATCATAAAAATGAAAATTTTTAATAAGCTTATACAAAGGCCTTAGGCATCTTATAATGTTCTGAGACTGCAAGGTAATGGGTTTTATCTAAAATATTAGCCATTGGCTTATTTTGGAAGGTAGATTAAGAAGCCTGTTGAATTATAAATTAAATCAATCAAGAATAACAATGAAAAGATCATCTTCACTGAGCCATCTTATAAAATTGAAAAATAACCTCATATTAATGTTGATAAGCAAATTAAATCAAATGATCAAAATGAAGATTTCAATCCTTTACTTGAATTTATAAAACTAAAATAGCAAGCGATGCCAAATATAGATTCCAAAATATTAGAAAAAAGATAAATTTCAAAAGATTAGTAGATGAATATTCCTTATCAATCTAATCTCAATTAGTCTGAGAAACAAGAGCAGAATCAACCACCAGGTCAGAATGAGTAAGAATAATAGATGAAAAAGAAAAAGATGAATTTTTAAGAGTTTAAAAAGGAGAAAAAGCTTAAAAAGCAGCAAGAATAAGCAGCTGAAATTACTGAAGAAGAGTTAAAGAATTTGAAGGAGAGAAAAGATGTTTAATATAATAAACTTCAATGTACAGGTTGTGGAATTTAATTATAGTATGAAGATGACACAAAATTTGGCTTTATACCGAAATATAAAGTTACTTTACATTATAATAGACTGGATAGCGACTATAAATATTAAGACAAATATGAGGATTTCAGCAATGAGCAATAAAGAAAGCAAATGCTGAGCATACTTAGAGATAGTAACTTAGATGAGAAAGAATTAGACTAGTTTAAAGAGATCATTGATCAGAATGACGGCAAAAGAAAAAAGAAAAGAGTTATTGAGTCTCCTGAAATACTAAATCTTGAGACTTTGATGGAGTTAGATGAGCGAAAAGATCATCTGGAGATTAATGATAAAAGGAAAATGAAAGAAATTGAGAAGCTTTAGCAAACTCCTACGAATTTAATATGCTAGAGATGCTATGATCTGAAACATCAAAGCAAGTTAATAAACTATAAGGGTACTGTCCCTTCAAATTATGCAGGGTCTCCAGTGCTACTGGCTGACTTTGTTCAAAACATGGATAGAAAAGAGATTGTTGCAAGACTAACAAAGTAGATGTACGCAAAATCTATCATAATTAAGGTGATTGACATAACCAATTTTGAAGGTAGCTAGATTTAGGAAATATATGATGAGGTTAACAAAAAGAAGCATAGATTAATCTTAGTTGTCAATAAAATTGATGCGTTACCAAGCGGCTTCACAATTGATAGATTGCACAAGTGGGTAAAAGATTAAGTTCATGATAAGATAAGTGAGCACATCAAATACAACATATGTTTAGCATCAGCTAAAGCAGCCACTGGAATCAATAAGGTTATGAGTATCATGGAAACTATTAAAAAGGAATTTAGTCCTGATGCATATTTACCCAAAGTGTACGTAGTAGGTTGTACTAATTCAGGCAAATCTTCATTCATCAATGCCCTCATTTACAAATCTAACAAGTATAAGGATCCTAATAAGATTCATTACAAGTAAAAGTATAATATTTTGACTGAGTCTCCTATGCCAGGAACTACCTTAGAGTTGATTAGTGCAGATGATGTCAGACTTGGGTTCAAATTTTTTGATACTCCTGGAATCCCAAACCTTTAATAAGCATCAGCATTTGTAGAAGACTATCAGGATCTGATCACACTCCTACCTAACAAGCAATTAATATCATATCCAGTTAACTTAAAGCAAGGCTACACTGTATTTTTAGGAGCACTAGCTCGTGTGGATTTGCTTTCAGGTGAGGATAAACAATTTACTTTCTTTGTACCTCCTCATGTCACTATTCATAGAACTCCAATATTAAGAGCAGAAGAGGTATATAATAAATAAGCAGGATACCTGTTAAGACCAACATACAATGCTAATCCACAAGATACAGAATTTTAGAGGCATGAATTGGCACTTAACTGCAATGATTACAAACTAGCCAATTTCGACATCTCTATTGAAGGACTTGGCTGGTTCAGTGTTCAAGGCAAAGGATTTTGTAATATGATGCTTCATCTGCCACAAGGAGTAGCCTATCATATAAGATAAGATTCACTAATGCCATTTGAAGTTGATCATAAGGGCCTATAGAGATACACAGGAAATACAGTCAATGCTCACACTAGTGTAAACAGAAAATTATCACATAAATTTAAGATAAGGTAAAATCTCTAATCACAGCAATCATAAGACAATTACCAATAAGATAAATGACTTGATAGCTTTCAAATTATTTTAATTAAACTAATCTTAATTTCCTAAGTTTTAGCAATATTTATATCAAACATTCATTTATGGGGTTTTGGGGTTTTGGGGTTTTGGGGTTTTGGGG